ATAACACTAGAGCAGCAAGCAAGTTCTTATAATAAAAAGTAAATAGGGGGCCCCTTAAGTTGCTCAGGGCCCTAAGCAATTGCTTAGCCTGCTGATACCTAGTGCTGGCTCTGCTGACAGTATCAATGCCTGATCCTTGGTCATTCTGATAAGAATCCCCAAAACAGTGACATTAGTAATGATCAGTTTTATAAGGTGCACACCTGTCCTCCAGGAATTGGACTATGACCATCAATTCATTTCACAATGACCCTCGAACAGTCATCAGGAGATTAAAATGTTTGCTAATCAGGAAATCAGTTATGATTACAGGGGAAAGATTCCATATTAACAATTCTCCTCAGCCCTTATTTTCTTTATATTTCACAGATGGAGAGGGGCTGGAAAAGCAAAAGTGAGGCTTGATCTTGCTGCGTATCGTGGGGTATCCAATAATGTCAGATAGGCCCAACACTCAGAGCTGCACATGGGCTTGGGAGTCTCTTAGTAAGTTGCACTGCTTTGAAAATTTAGGTCACATTGGACAGTCAAGCAGTGATGAGTGTTCTCCAGTCTAAGGGCAAAGACCTCACCAAATGATTTGACATTAGGATTCTCATAGACCAGAGATAGGCAATATTTTTCACAGGGGAATTTTTTGTATGTGGTCATGGGACAGCTTCACCCCCCAAAAAGGGCAGGACCTGGGGCAGGGCTGGAGACTAGCCTCCTGCCAGAGTTGTCTTAAGCCACAAGCTTTACGTACAAACACAGCAAAGGGCTTGCAGCTCTAGGCGCCGCCACTACCACATTGCCTGGCAGCCACCTAGGGTTGCTGTGGCTATTTAAAAGGCTCACAGATCAGGCTCCTATTGGAGTAGTGCCACATCTGGAAGCCACAAGCTATATAAATAGGATCCTGTTGCCTGAGCCACAACTCGGAAATTTGGTGGCACGGGCTGTGGGATATAAATAGAAAGCAGGCAGAGACAGCCCATGGGCCAGATCAAACTGATAAGCAGGCCGGACCCAATCCCCAGGCTGCATCTTGCCCAGTCCTGCCACAGACAGTATCAGTGTATCACATAATCAGACATTTGGTCAAAAGTATTACAAGGCAGTGACTTACTGAGCTCATGTAACCAGAAGATGCTCACCTAAAGGGTAAGCATAATAGCCAGTTACTCAGGGTGAACATGTTAGGAGTAAAATTACCCTGATATTTTTTTAAAACAGTATTCTGTTGAAGTTTGTTACTACCTTGCTTGCATGATACAACAAAGGGGTCATGCTTCAAATGTAGACACTAAGCACACATCTACACAGCAGGGCTAAAGCTAAAATAAGCTACGCAACTTGAGCTATGTCAATAACTTAGCTTTAGTCGAAATAGCCTATTTTAGCTTTTGGCGCTGTCTGCACAGCAGGAAGTCCAAGAAAGAGCACTCTTCCTCCAATTTCCCTTACTCCTCATAAAATGAGAGTTACTGGAGTCAGAGTAAGAAGTCCTCCAGCTCAACATTATTTTGAAATTCTGTCGAAATAACGGCTTTCTGTGTATATGCGAGCTATGTTATTTCAGAATAACGTCAATTATTTCCAAATAACACTGTTGTGTAGCTGTACCCTAGGTGGGTTAACTTTCAAAACAGCAATAAAGAACAAGCGAAAATACTGCACATGTATATCTTGTAACAAAGCCTCAAAGCTAGGCGAAGTATTATGAATCGTTAATTATCTAGCTAATCTCTCTAGAAGTTTACAGGGAATAAATGCACTGAAAAGCTCAACTCCAACAAAACAAGTCAACTTCCTTGGGTCCTGAAAGAATACAATAACTAATCTCACCTCCTAAAAGAGTAATTTTTAAGGACAGGTTCCAATTTATGTTACAAGTGTGATTGTTTTGTATAAAATTTGAGCACAGTTTAAATGGGTTTCAGTTTTAGTTCCCATGTCACCACAAGATAAGATCAAGCAATAATAAATTATAGTAATATTGAAGCGTTAAAATGTGCGTCTATGCCTCCTTTGATTCACGTCATTTTCCAGATATAAGATAACTTTATATCGCCTAGCTTCATACAATATACTAACTTCTCCATTAGAAGTATGCATCATGGAAATTTACAAACCTCAAATTTTTCAGTACTATTGATTGTGATGATATTTGTTCTCCATTGGTTTTGCAGTCCTCCTTCTTCTTGCCAGATGTTTTTAAAAGTTCCATCAGAATGATGGAGTCCCACCATCAACACGCCTTTCATTTGACCAATCCAATAGTAAAATGCAAGCTAGGACATAAGAAAGTCCTGGTTAGTCCAGCAAATCGCAATGACAAAGAATACAATGAAGGGAAGATGTACCCCAAATACCTGGCAAATGTGTTTGCTGTCAGTAGGGAAGAAAACTCTGCTTCTTAAAGTTGCAGGAGATGAGACTACTTCAGAGGACACAGAGAGGAAATAGGCTATTAAAAAAAGAGAACAACACAGAAGGTTTAATAACCAGTGTTATTGTAACAAATACATAGAACATGCCAGAAAAATTCCATTATTTGGTAGACAGAAAACATAACTACATGGAAACTGCAGATAAATAATTACATTGCGGTTTATCTATAAAAGGACTTTTTTTGGGGGGGGGGGGGGGGGGGGAGAGTGTTGGTATAAAAATAAAATTACCAACTATTTTAAAGGAGTAACAGATATTCAATGTGATGTTCCCGGTATTATTCACTGCACGCTATATAAACCCTGTTCTAAAGGCAAAATTAATAAGTTCTCTCTCATGGGCTTTTCTATGTTGAGTATTACAATAGTATCTGAGTGCTTCATAAACATTAATTAATATATTTTCACCACACCCCTTTAAGCCCCATCCATCCTGTCCATAGAAAGAGGCAGGAGTTCTGTGGAAAAATAATTGTAATTAAAATTATAATTAAAGACTGTATCATAAGCTGTATGCACAACAAAGCTAAATTAAGCTTGTACAGATAACGTTCATATTGGCATTTTGTAACTTCTGAGTGCATGACTTTTACTCTGCAACATGAATAACATGCTTTTAACATAGTTTATTTTTGTGGACAATATTCCAGGTTTTAAAATAATGCAGCCTGAAAAAACAAATTCCATGGACTGGCCCTAGTGACAGTGAACACTTTGTCAGTACATTTTATAAATATTTTCTGACAACAGAAGAAGAGTGACACTCAGGGTCTAGGGTTCCTTTCTGAGCTTGGGAAAGGAGGGAGCTCTAATGAATACAGACTCTTCAGCCACCCCCCGCCCCCCTGGCCTTGAAGCATGACCCCTTTGTTGTATCATGCAAGCAAGGTATTAACAAACTTCAACAGGCCTTTATTTACCAAAGGTGAAACCTCTTTACAAAGCTGCTGCTGCTCCCCTCTGTAGCTCTCACTCAGGCCTGGCCCATCTCTTCCCCCCTCCTTCCAGTGCTTCCAGATTCCCAACAGCCAGTGCTCCCAGTTCTAATAATTACAAGCAGCATCTAAACACCACATTCCCTCCTCTCTTAAGAAGCTCTCCCAATTATAAAATAAACATTGTTGTTCTAACCACAGCAACAAATATGGAACAAGACACTATACTGTTGGCAGAAATATTTCACTGAAAACACTGGAAATATTACATAACATAGTCTCTAGCAGACAGGTGGTCGTCTAGGTCTGACAGACCGTCTCTCAAACCCCGGTTCCAGTGTAATGTCTTCTAGTGTTGGTGCTAACACCACAGTCTTCTTCATGGTCCCCTTCAATCTCTCAGTCTTCCCTGTTCTCCTGGTACCTCAACACACTTCCATTTTCCTCATCTAGCCTGCCCCAGTCTCTGCTTAGGCAGTCCTTGTTCTGCCCTCATGGGTCCTCATACATGGGGAGATCATATTTCACTATGCTGAATATAGGACATCTGGAAAAATTATTCATATTCAAGCAAGTTCAATGGCAATCAGAGCTGTGCAGTGCAAACATGCAAATAAATATCAAGTTGACTGAGCCCCTGCTAAATAGAAATACTGCATAGCTGGATTTTTTTTTATTATTTTCTTATTAAGGAATTAGGTTTCACAAGGGGTGAGGTAACACACACACACACACACACACACACACTCACGGACACACACACACACTCACGGACACTTCTCTCACACAGGGAGGGTGACTGACTGATCCAATGCTCCCTGTCTAGGGCTCTCTGCCCTTCATGTCTGGCTGGAGCCCAAGTATTGACATGCCTCCCCTAGTACCTGGTGCCACATCTTTCCACAGCAATGTGGTGGGGGAACAGGGGGAAGGGAAGCACATAGGGGCATATGCTCCCTCCCCAGATTTCTGCCAAGGTTTACGCCAGAACATCACCAGCAGTAGCCTTCTGGCACTGTGTGGGAAGGAAGGGACAGGAACTACTTAAAGCCACTAGGGGGAGGGGATAATTTGGCCTATGCCTTTGCAGAATTCATCTCCCCCTACCCCACCTCCTACTATCCCCCAACTCATCTCCCCTGCATGGCTGAAAGCAGCTTGTTTCTTCCTGCCTGCACAGTGTCAAAAGGCAACTAACATATCCAGACTGCTGCTGGGCACCAACATAGCCCAGCCGCCTCCTGTCCCAGGCTACAGTACTGGCAAAAAGGAGTTAAGCCTAAGGATGCATTATGCACCATGCCCAAGGAACCAGATCACAGGCACTTCACTGAACCCAGACAGGCAGATGGTCCAGAAGGGGAGAACAGGACTCAGGGGGACTGAAGAGGGTGCTAATTTACTGTGGCTACTGTAGAGCCTTCAGGGTCAGGGCATGAACAGGCTGGAAATTACTTATTCCCCCACTCCAGAACTTAGCTAAGAGGTGGAGAGGCTTTCCTGTGCCAGCCCTGCACAGGGCTTTGGCATAGGCAGGGCTTTGCATCTGCTAGCCAGCACTCTGCGCAGAGGGCTTTGGGCTTGCATGGGGCTCTAGTCAAGCCATAAGTAATAGGAGAAGGAAGGAGCCTTCCAGCTAGACTGTTGGTGAGCTGACCACTCTGATCAGGAGCAGGCTCCTCACAGCTGGGAGCAGGACATGCCCTGCAGGGGGTAATATGGAGGGAGCAGCAGTGCTGTGGAGCACGAAGAGGCTAAGCAGGACTAGACAGTGAGAGAGGGAGCATGTAGATGGCCAATAGGTGGGCAGCAGAGGTGAGACACAATTGGCTGGTACCTACCCACACTCACCAGCCATGGCAGCTCACAAAAGCACAGCCAAACCTGTTCAGAAATGGGACAAGAGGTAGGGCCTTGCTGATGAGAGGTGTCATGCACTGGGGACTGCACTGATCGCCTGGCAGGAGGAGTATCCAGCCCTGCACACTGCATCTTTGTCCTGCCACCTGCTTTGCATGCCCAGCCTCATCATTGGCCACTAGATCCCCGCATTCATCCTTGGTCAGTGGGTGACTGGAGAGCAAGGATCCAGATAGCATTCTAGTCATGTGATTTCTCATTCCCACCATGGTCTTCAATCACCTAACTTCCATTCCCCCTCACACTCACAAAACTAGGCGATTGAGCAACAAAATGGCAAATTAATGTTAATGTTGATAAATGCCAAGTAATGCCCATTGGAAAAAATAATCCCAACTACACATACAAAATGATAGGGACTAAATTAGCTATTACCACTCAGGAGAGCGCTCTTAGGGTGTGTCTAGACTACAGGGTTTTGTCGACAAAAGTGGACTTTTGTCGACAAAACTATACCTGTGTCCACACTGCCTTTGAGTTATGTCGACATAACGTCGACAAAACTCAGCAGTTTTGTCGATGTATGTAAACCTCATTCTATGAGGAATAACACCTTTTGTTGACAGAGTTCTGTCAATAGAAGGCATTATTGCATCTACACTGTCCTTCGTGTCCACACTGTTATGTCAACAAAGCAGCTTGCTTTGTCAACAGAACTGGATGTAGTCTAGACGCTCTTTGTTGATAGAAGCTTCGTCGACAGTATCTGTTGACAAAACTTTTGTCAACAAAACCCTGTAGTCTAGACATACCCTTGGAGTCAGCGTGGATAGTTCTCTGAAAACATCCACTCAGTGTGCAGCGGCAGACAAAAAAGCAAATAGAATGTTAAGAATAATTTAAAAAGGGATAGAGATCTTACTGCCTCTATATCAATCCAAGATTCACCCACATCTTGAATACTGCATACAGATGTAGTCACCTCATCTCAAAAAAGATATCTTAGCATTGGAAAAAATTTAGGGGTTTGGAATTGGGCCATATGAAAAGAGATTTAAAAAACGGGGACTTTTCAGCTTAGGAGACTAAGTGGGGATATGATAGAGGTCTATAAAATCAGGACAGGTATGAAGAAAAAGTGAATAAGGAAAAGTTATTTACTTATTCCCATAACATAAGAACCAGCGGTCACCAAATAAAATTAATATGTAGCAGGTTTAAAACAAACAGAAGGAAGTGTTATCTTCACACAGCACAGTCAACCTATGGAAACTCCTTGTCAGAGGATATTGCAAAGACCAGCACTTTAACAGGGTTCAAAAAAGAACTAGATAAATTCATGGAGGTTTGGTCCATCAATATTTATTAGCTAGAATGGGTAGAAATGGTGTCCCTAGCCTCCGTTTGTCAGAGGCTGGAAATGGGTGACAGGGGAGAGATCACTTGAGTATTACTTGTTCTGTTCACTCCCTCTGTGGCATTTGGCATTGGCCACTTTCAGAAGACAGGATAATGGGCTAGATGGCCCTTTGGTGTGACTCAGTATGGTCATTCTTATGTTCTTATTCCCATCCCTTTATTCCAGTTTTTTGCCACATCTTGACTTTTCATCACATCTCCTTCCTCCCAATCCACTGATTCGCAGTTCTGTCTTTGTCCAGCCAGTCCTAGTCTCCCTTTCTTAGCTCCCAATAACCACTCAGTTCTCCATACTAATGTTCCCCACCCCAGTTCCCATTTTCCCTCTCCTCCTTCCCAGCAGCTTTCTATTAATGGCAATGTTGTCACCTTGCCCTTCCCCCATCAGGCACTTGTCCCCTTTGTAGTTGAATCAAGTAGCTTCCCCTGCCATACCTTGAGCCCAGCAAGAAGCATCTATTTGTCATTTTCTTCTTGGGTTTCAAGTTTGCTCTTTTAAAGCATCAGAGGCAGAGAAACTAAAGCTGACACTTTTAAAGCCTTAGAAGACTCTAGTAATCACCATTTTCCTAGTTATTTAATTAAAAAACAATTTTAAAACAATAGAAACTCTATTTTCTTCTTGTTCCTTTCATACCATTCATTTTGTAGATCTTTTAGGCTACAGTTTATTATTTGCTTAGAATGATCCATATCTTGATTGTAGTTACTGGGCACTGAGCTTTTGCTGACTCTATAAATTGCTGCCTCACTCCTCTTAATATTCCAATTGATTTTCAAAATAGGCTTCCAAAACCTCTCATACAGAAGCAGATTGATTACTTGATAAGTATAAGAAGCCAGGAGACATCCAAGATTAACTCAAAAAAAGTTAATTAATCAAAAGGTTCAGTCATGATTATCAAATGGATTTCCTATTTCACGAATGAGGGAAATTGCCTATAGACTGCACAGCTTAAATCATTGCTACAATTCAAGATCATTAAGGAAATGGGTTTGTGCTCCAGTGCAACCTTTGCTAAAATGGTAATTTAGTATGGGTCTAAATGGGACTATGCAAACACTGGGCTTATTAGAGGCAGCGTGGAGGTGCACCGTAATTAAAAGCTGAGCATGTTCCCAGTACTGTCGGCTCTGCCCAAGTCATCATCTGATTTAAGAATTATTTTTACATAGGTCTCTGCTGGTGACAGGTTATATCTGCATGAGCAAACAAAACACTACACGGGGCACTGTCATGATGAGGTACTGGGACATTTAAACAGCATCTGTCTACAAGCGTTGAGTTTAGCGTGCTTGACCCCTTTGCATAAGAAGATGGTCAAGAAGCATCTCCACTCACACCCTAGGAAGCAGGGGTGTTGCCACAGGTGGGCTTGATAGGGTTGTGGCCCTCCCACTTTGCATCTAGGCCCACCTGCACAGCCCTCCTGGGCTCTTCTCATGCCCCAACACTTGTCCTGATCCTCCAGCCTTCCTGGCACTGCAGCTGGGCAGCAGAGTCTGAGCGCTGAGGCTTACCCCCTTCACCCAGTGCTGCAGCCAGGAAGACCCCCATCATTGTCCACCTACTCGAAGTCAGGGCCCATCCAATGGGCCCTTTTGGCTATGCCACTGCCAGGAGGTAGGGAGAAAGATGTAGTCATAGTCCTTGTATTCCCCTCAACATAAGGACAACTAAAGTCTTACCAGCATCACAGAAAAGAGACTAAGATAGGCAGAACTATGATCTGGACCCACTGTATTGGAGCTCTTCTTTTAGCCTGTCCAGAAGTACTCTCCTTGCACTCCTAGCATCTTTGTGCTGGCCAGGGCTTCTATGGCTCTGCAGTTGTAAGTGTCCACTTCCTCCTCCCACAGCGAACTGTGACCTGGTGATGCATTTGAGCCCTAAGCTTGATTCTAACCAATCCTACCAGTCTCTCATTTCATTTCACTTTTAAAGGCACTCAGTTAAATAAACAGCTCTATCTAAATATCTTCATTCTAAAAGCAACAAACAAGTTCAGGTTTCACTTTCCAGATCATTTGACTGTTAAATTTCAGTTTAAGGAGATGTTTTAAAAAGTATGTTAAATACAACAATAAGGTAGATTAAATGGTGTGTGTGGGGGGGGGGGGGGGGGTGGGGTGTATACACACAGTACATGAAGTATGGCCATTTCTTTACTATTAACAAAGGTTCACAGAGTAGGGAGAGCCAGAAAGAGAAAACACTCATGCTAAGTGGCTCCTACTAAGTGATTATGTAAATATTCATAGGAATCAACTCTTCCCGGTGAACTTTGATTTTATGCTGCTATCAATTATGATAGCAAAAATTGTTCCCTTTAACAATACACCCAAGAACTCATTTCTCATCACACAAATGCTTTTTTTAGATTCTGTGCAGTAACCATAATAAAACAAATTTCAAAGTAAATTGCAGGTTAAGTCACTGAGAGCAGGAAAGGCCACAAACTTGAAAAGTTATCGTAAGCAGATAAACACTCAAATCCCCTAGACAATCAGAACTGACATCTGTGAAAGTGAAAGATTACCATTTGGTCTCCCTCCTTAGATTAGCAGAAGAAACAAGAATCAGAGGGCCCAATTCTTCTACCATTTTGTCCCATGCACCTATATATCAGAGCGTATGAGCATTAATGCAATTAGTATGCTCAGGAAGCAGTGATTCTGGATTTGTAGTGTTTAGCCAAAAATGTGGCTTGGATGGTAGTGGAACAAAAGGTGTAAAGAGCTTTAAATGAGTTTGGATAAAGCAGAAATAAAGCCAGAAAAAAACTGGAAGAAATTACACAGGTGATCTTGGTCCTATTGATTGAAGGGCTCTGTCTACCTTTTTGTACTAAGAATTGCAGTTGATGGGTTCTCTCAAATCTTCAGTGGATTCTGAATGTCTAAACAGGTCAGAAATGCTTTTTTCTTCTTGCTGGCAAGCACATTGTAAACTTCTCTTTCAGATGTAGGCGCCACCAGTTATGTAAGCTTTTGCTCTATCCAAATATGATTGCTCTGCAATGCTGTTCATGAGGCTTGCTCTTTAAGTCCACTTGGAAATGTCATGTATTGCAGAATTCTGCTTCCTACATAGAACATACTATATTTTACCTAGTATTTCAGAAACAATGCAATTATAAATCATATGACTAAGCACCCCTAGACACAAAAATTCTACCTCACACACCGTAACTGCAAGCCTATTGTTCAAGGTCGGAGTTCAGAAAGACATGGTTATTCCTTTTTTAAAATATAGGTGACTCTTACCAGTCTTATTCCCATTGTGGTCAGAATGTGGAGATCCCATGCTGGTCAGGCCATTTCTCCTAGTCCATCCAGTCTGTAAGTCCCAATCATGTAACATATTGCACGGCTTAGTTTCAAAGTCACATGTTTCATAAGAGGCACCTAATCAAAGAGGACTGTTGTCAGAAACTGCATGCAGGAAAGGTTTGAGTCATTAAGCAAATATATAATACAACCATACACAGTGAAATAGGTACAAATGAATGTATACATCATTAGTTATAACTAAGGCTACAATTTAGTCATAGAGGTCACGGCAGTCTCAGATTCTATGAATTTACCAGACTTGTATGACTTCATGTGGGCCCTGGGTCCCTGCCATGCAACTTGAGTTGGGGTCTATACCCAGGGCTGGTTTGTATGGTGATTTTTAGCACAAGTCATGGACAGGTCATAGGTTCCACAAATTTTTCATTATTGCCTGTAACTTACTAAAAAGAACCATGACAAAACCTTACCCTTAGTTATAACTTACAAAGAACTCAGACATATCCTAACATGCCTTCCAGAACAAATGAGAAAGACTTTCTAAATGTTAGACCAAACACAATGAGCAAGAGCATTAAACAAAGCAGTGAACATAACAGAGAAAGGAGTCTGAAGGTTGCAAAACAAAAGTCAATGTCTATCCCCTGGAGGATTTCATATCCTTTTTTACTACTGCAGATGTAATTCAGGCTCTTGGCCCACTACATGTAAGGTCCCATATATATTTTCACCCATCTCTACAAATGTACAGGAAACTGTGCAGGCAAGCAAAAAATATTTTGTTTGCATAAAATTGTTCTTAAGACATACTGCAAATATCACCAAATTATCATTTACTTCAAATACTTTAATACACACTATTACTCATGTTAGCACTGGGCTTTCTCAAGTATCAGTGAAGATTAAACACTAGGCAATAACCATTGAACACAAATAATTTAAGTCCCCTGTTTTTTGTGTTGCTGTATTAAACCCTGGATTTTTAGCAGCATGGTTATAACATTAGGAAAGCATGAGCTCAGTCCCAGAAATCTTCATGGCTTAATCCTGGAAGTGGGCGTAATCTCATCAGTGGATGGATAAGGCATGCAGTACTGACCAGCTGGCATTCGGTACCCTTCATGACTAAATCTGACAAATGCTCAGTTCTCTTTGGGGTACCAGTTTGATAGGGCCAGCAGCACCAGAGGCATCTTCAGGAGTGGAGGAAGAGCTCAACCAGAAGGTAGGACAATGCTCCATGCAGTCCCCCCCCCCCTTCCTTATTCTTGTTCACCACATGTTGTTAAGGGAGGGTTTTCTTTCTTTTTCCCCTTATCCCACTGCCCAGCCTGGGGAATGGGTGAGACATTGTATATCTTATCTGGACACCACAGCATGCCCCATTGATCACTATTTGGTACTGATTGGATTGGGTGACTAAAAAAGCAGGAGGTGGGGGTGATTACTGCAAATTACTGCTAGGGTAAGTCACCATTTTGAAGGCTCTGATTCAATAGCAGCTATGGCTGCCAAATGAGAGAAGTGGAGCAGCAACTGTAGGGTCACTGCCAGAGCAGAAGATATTCATCTAGCAACTTAGAGCAACTGAGCTGCTCCCAGGTTCCTTAAGCAGGCCCAGTGGTGCCCTCTCAGAAGTTTAAAGAAGAGTGGCCACTCTGGCAACTTAAACTCATATTATGGCTGGTAAAGTACTTCCAGCTCCAGGAACTAACCGCTGTAAATTGGGACCAGAAAATCCAGAAGATTCAGAGAGGGAAACAAGAACAACCACTGAAAGAAAGAACTTGTGTCCGGTGGAGAAACTGCTGGCTGATCCCCCTGCTTCAGCCAGTGAGCCTATGGGGCAGCAGGTGGAGGCAGTTTTTCCTCTGCATTGGGGGATCCTCATCAGGTGATAATGCCTTTGGAAATTAAGAACATAAGAATAGCATACTGGGTCAGATCAAAGGTCCATCTAGCCCAGTAGCCTGTCTGCTGACAGTGGCCAATACCAGATGTCCCAGAGGGAGGGAACACAACAGGTAATCATCATGTGATCCCTCCCCTGTCACCCACCTCCAGAGAAACATAGGCTAGGGCCACCATTCCTACCCATCCTGAGAATAGCCATTGATGGACATAATCTCCATGAATCTATCTAGCTCTTTTTTGAACCCTGTTAAAGTCTTAGCCTTCACAACATCCTCTGGCATGGTATTACTTCCCTATGGACAGTTCAAAATACAGGGCCATTGGTGAGATGTTTCCACCTGGATCCCATGGCCCATACCCACTAATGGAGTGGCTGGGTCTGATTCTGGCACAGTAGGGGAATCTCTCCCTGGTTTAGAAGGTGGCAGTTCTGCCCTCCAGACCTCCTCACTTCAGTACCAATAGGATTCACGATTGCTGTTGACCCTTCTTTCTGCATGGCATGCTGTCCCTCCTTTGATCCTGCACTGAACAGAAGGATATATGAAGGAGCTTGGATAGAAAAAAATGGTATGAAGTCAGACTTCAGACTTGCTGCTTATGTACCCCTTTGACTTTGATCTTTTAGGATTTCAATTCATGGAACAATTTTATTTGAACAAAGTTACACCAATGGGATACTTGTCCTCCTCATCCTACACAGCCTTCAAAAATCTCAGTTCTGTGTGAGTACCTGTGCCAGTCAGGATAACAGATTTCAGGATCATATAATCATAGGATTATAGAATCCCAAGGCTAGAAGAGACTTTAGGAGGTCATTGAGTCCAGCTCCATACCCAAAGCAGGACCAACTCCAACTAAATCATCCCAGCCAAGACTTTAAAACCGCTAGAGATGGAGATTCCACCACCTCCTTAGGTAACCCATTCCAGTGCTTCATGACATTCTTAGGGAAATAGTTTGTCCAAATATCCAACCCAGACCTCCCCCACTGTAATTTGAGACCATTGCTCCTTATTCTGCCATCTGTGTCTACTGAGAACAACCCCTCTCCATCCTCTTTGGAACCTCTCTTCAGGAAGTTGAAGGCTGCTATCAAATCCCCCCTCACTCTTCTCTTCTGCAGACTAAATAAGCTCAGATCCCTCAGACCCCCCTCATAGGTCATGTGGTCCAGCTCCCTAATCATTTTGGTTGCCCTCTGCCAGACCATCTCCAATGCATCCACCTCCTTTCTATACTTGGGTTCTCAGAACAGACACAATACTCCAGATGTGGCCTCACCAGTGCAAAATAAAGGGGAATAATAACTTCTCTACATCTTCTCTAGAGGTGCTCCTCCTAATGCACTCCAATGTGCCATTAGCCTTCTTGGATATAAGGGCACCCTGCTGACTCATATCCAGCTTTTCATCCATTGTAATTCCCAGGTCCCTTTCTGCTGAACTGCTACTTAGTCAGTCAGTCCCCAGCCTGTAACAATGCTTGGGATTCTTCCATCCCAAGTGCAGGACTCTGCACTTGTCCTTGTTGAACCACATCAGACTTATTTTTGGCCCAATCTTCCAATTTGTCTAGGTTACACTGGACCCAGGAGTGGGAGAGATAGCTCAGTGGCTTGAGCATTGGCCTGCTAGAGAAGGTATTAGGTAATAGAAGGTATTTATTTTTGAACAAAGGGATTCCCCAATCTTTGGACTGGGTCTTTAGTCTGCAGTCATCTAGAAGGTTGGCCATTTTCAACAGGAAATGGCAGGAAGCATAAGGGATCTGTTGAAAAAGGCTTTCTTTCATGACAGACCCCACTCCAGACTGCCACTTTTTGCAGACAAACAGCTGAGTTGGCAAAACACAGTGGCCATTTTTACGCAAATTAGGCACAGGATATTTAAATCCCTGCCTCATTTTCAATGTCGACCTGCCTAATCTGCATCCCTCTGCCGACAGAGGGATGCAGTCTAGACATACCCCAGGAGAGATGAGCAAGAGTGCTGATGAGAAGTAAAATCAGGAAAGTTAATTAAAATACTTCCCTGATTAATTGTGTTTTCTAAGGGACAAGCTATGCTAAATTCTCAATTGTTCAGAAACAATCTTCACTCACTGCTATATTGGCTTCTACAATCAACTCTCTGCTTATCCTTTCGAGAGCATTGTACCCAAATATTTGGATGATAACAAACCTGTATTATATTTTTAATCTACGTGTGGGTTATTACAAATTATATATTTTATTACTTTAAACTAACCATTATACTTTTGAATAATATAAGCACTATATGCAGATGAACAGACATTCTTTCCTTAATGTGTTTATTATATAAATTTTAACATTAGCTTTCATCAAAATTTATTGGGCACGTGAAAAGGTATCTGGCAAAAAATCTGGCTCAGCACTAGATATCCCCTTTTTAGCTGCCTGATTTATTAGGGAAGGAGAAGATGACTGTGAAATCACATAGTGCCCATCATTCACTCTATGGCAGGATGTTTTCATTTCCAGCAGGTGATCATTATTCACTTGGGAGAAAATGGTTTGGGCACAGAAAAAAGGGCTTATTTTGATCACTAGCATAAAGAGGGCTCTCAGCCACATTTCATCTATTTTCCCTAAAATAGTCTTGAACTGCTGAGAGATTCTATCCAAAGCAAGTTTGGTGAGGAGTCTCCAGGTCTGACAACCTTGACCAAGACAAGAAAGAAGTGAATTGTGAAACAGGCAAGCATATAAATGACAAGGGCACATAATTATTTCCCATAAAAGAATTAAATGTAACATCCTTCTCTTCCCCAACAAATGTTGTTTAGAGAAGATGAAGTACATCTATCCAACAATGGATGGGATATTTTCTTGGAAGACCTCAAACAATCAGTGGATTCCTCTCTAAATGCCCAATGGCGTAGAAGTGTGTAAGATACTCAAACTGACTGCTGTTGTCTCCTGCCGTGAGTGTTAGTGTGGCTGATATGATAACAAGTGTCCCCTTTAAGGGAATGGACTGCTTGAGCATTGGTCAATGCACAGTGCGGATCTCTCCTCCCTCCAGCATGGAGAAAGGAAGTGGATCGTGGCTGACTTTAGTCAGGGTCCAGGGTTGGCTTTCATACCTAGCCTTAAGTTTTTAGAAGCTAGGTCCATGGTGCAAGTTTTGTTCCACAATGGAATTTTGGGAGGTAACTGAAGGGAGATAACCACAGTTGTATAATAGTTTTAAACACAGTTGTATTAAACCATAATATAGTGTATGTCTCTCTTTGTACCTTCATCAGTTCAACACACTGATTAGTTCTGAGGCACAAAAGAGGGAGCAGACTGCACTGGCGTAGACATTCTGGTATAGATTAATGTGTATATTAGCTGAGCCAGCTCTTGATTTTTTGTTGTTGTTTTCATCTTTGGTTATGTGCTATATCTTCCAGTGGCTGAAAAGCATGTGAATGGTTCATTATCAGAAACACTGCTGGAGCATAGTTGCCTCATTATACGAAATAAAATGAATCACACACAGTCTTATCTCAATAGATTTTCCATAGTTGAAAAACCAAATTAAAAACAAACAAGTTAGAATAAGAAGCAAAGTGTTTCGTTTTGAGTTAAAACTCTTGATCACATATGATTATTCTTTTAAAAAGATCAGTTCTATTTATTTTCACAGAACATCTAATTGGAAGTTGTCTAACAATTTGCTGGGAGATAAATTTACACAGATAAAATTACTGTTTGAGGACTCCTTTTATCAGGGGCTGGAAATGAATGACAGAAGAGGGATCATGTGATGATTACCTGTTCTGTTCACTCCCTTTGGGGCATCTGGCATTGGACACTGTCGGAAGACAGGATACTGGGCAAGATGGACCATTGGCCTAACTCAATATGGCCATTCTTATGTTCTTATGGGAGAGGAAGGGAGGGAAAAGAAATGTGTGGGTTGTTTCTGACACATTTTTTCTCAGAATTATAAATAAAACAAAATCTTTTAAGTTATCCCTAAACTTAAAAATCTGTCTAAATCTCAATAGAGAAACAAACAACAGTTCAGGTTTAACAGTATCTATTTCATTTTGATAATCCTTCCCAGAAACAGGAAACATTGCATTACACTAGCAAAGAATTTTTTATAAGAAGATACTGCCCCAACAAAGAAAATATGTATTTTGTACTTAACCGTTGGTTTGGTTGAACTAGAAGATAGAAATGGCTTATGTCTGCAGGATATACATTTTCAGTTAAAATAGTGTGTATATTTTTAATGGCTCCTTGAGTGCTTTTGGAGAGTTAAACATTTAGCCAACACACATGCTTTTTATATGTATCATTTTCAAGAGTGCTATCCTGGGAAAGCAATATATGTTTTTAAAACAGCAGTTTTCATTCCTTCAGCCCTCCCACCTCCCTACTCAATGAATATTTTGCAACAGAAGCTCACAGCTTAAAGGTAATTTTATATTATATCTCCCTCCCTCTATCAAGCACACACAGCTTAGATGTGAAAGAGAAAAAGATTAGAACAAAATGGTAATAAAAGTATAACACTTGAAGCTCCAGTCCTACGATCTGGCCCATGCAGCTAAACCCCTTATTTCCACATGGAGATCAAATGAAATCAGTTACGCTCTGCATTAGCTCAGGGGTCCACCCATTCACCTCACAGTGCAGTTTTGGGGCCTCAACAAAAGACAACCCCAGACAAAGACTTTGAATCTGAACAGCTCTGACTGTCAGTGGGCAATGAATGGCCTATATTTCAAAATCAAAACCCAGATCTGGATCTGATTTTAATTGGGGCTTATAGGGCATTTGAATCTTGTATAGGAAAGTAGTCCAGAATAACTGTTTTGTACTAGCTGTCCATGTGAACATAATTATTCCATGTTCAAGTCCCTTTATGCAGTTTAGCTTAATCCACACGAAGGCATTTCTGATGTGGAATAAGTGTCGTCAATGAGGAATAAGTATTTTACTTTAAATTCACACAATAGACATTGTAGACTAATCTGATCTAAAACCTCAGATGCAGATGCTCCCAAACTCTGGGGGCTAGGTGATTGAAATCCAAATTTCCAATTTTGTGGCTCTCCCAACTCTAATTTAAATTCACGTCTGTTTCCTTTCTAGATCTGTTCCCTGGCTCCTGAGATAGAATTTCTATAGAGGAGTCCTCTGGTGTTTCTTATTCCCTCTCCTGTTTTCTCATGAATAAGTCTCCTAGGGTATGTCCAGAAGAAATACTCCAAAATAGCTTATTTTGAAATAGCACATCTACACTGCAGGGAAGCCTCAAAATTAGTCTGAGGCAGGCTTCCCTAATGTGGACATGCTACCTTGATTTAGAGCCCCAGGAGGCACAGGAGTAATTAGTTGAATGGCCCTGGGGAGGAGCTATTTTGAAGTAGCAGCACTGGAGCATCCACACTACAACTATTTTGAAATAGCTATTTCGGAATAGGTATTATTCCTCCTGGAATGAGGTTTACAGAAGTCAGAATAAGTTGTCTGTTATTTTGAATTTATTTCAAAATAACAGAATTGCTGTGTAAACATTGTTATTTCAAAATAATGTCAGTTATTTCAAAGTAACTGTGCTGTGTAGGCACACCCCTAGAGCACAATTATGTATGCAGCTCAATAAGAGTGTATAAAGAAATGCCATAGACATTAATAAAAAATACACGTTTTCTTTTACATTATACCAAAGTGGCAAGGAGTGTATTTTAGTGACCTATCTGCCCTGAGAAAATATTCTTCTGTAGAGGAAACAACAGCTAGGGACCACTACATACTCAAACTGAACTTTTCAGGTATAACTTGACATAGTATTCAAACGTCTCTTGTGTTCAAACTGCTATTGTATTGAAACTTGCCAAGGTACATGCTTGGCTCTACATTTGTGAGGGGCGCAGTCTATGTGCTTAATTTTTTGTCTGGTAATTCACAATCCTATTTATTTTAACATAAGCATTCTGTATGCAGTATGCTAACCTTTGGTTTGGTTGAACTGGAAGATGAAAGTGGCTTATGTCTGCAGGATACATATTTTTAAACCTGTAACATGCTAATGAAAAAAAAGAAGGTTTTTTGGAAGTTCTGCCATGAGGGAAACTCTTTGGTAGAACTTGGAGACACTGAAGTTTTCAAGTTTAAAATAATAAAAAAAAAATAAAAAAAATCAGGAATTCCAAACTCCTCCTTGTGCTCCAGGAAAAGGTCCTCAGAGAACAGGCCTCTTTTGTGCCACACATTCTTGTATAACATTTGCAATGTAGTTTAATGTTGTAGCACAAAATAAATTTCCGCTGAAAATACAATTCAACAAGCTAATTTGAAGCCAGATTCAGTGGATTTAGATTGTATGGATGGCTGTTTTAGAGGTAGGTGACCATTGCTACATTCAGAAACATCTCAGATTATTAGTCCAAAGCTATAAGTTCATAATTTTTTTATTTGTTTGTTCACTTAGTTCTTTGCGTGAGCTCTAGCCATGTTACTTAGATCACTCTTCCCATAACAAAACTGAAACATATATTATTTAACTGTCATGGACCTGCAAAAACTTATCAACATTTTTTCAAAAATTATTTTTAGAATAGACATGACTTCTAGGGAGGAAACTTTGTATCTAGCTAACATTTAACACATTTTGACTCTACTAAGCAGGTGTGAATGAACGGAAAGTGGGGTTCAGAAGGAGTTCTAAAAGTAGTGATGAATCTTGAATAAGAAAAATAAAGACATTCATCTTTAGATATCAACTGATATTTAAGCAGATAGCATAAGGCAAGACATAAGCAGGTAAAAGAAAATAGATAAAGTGAAAAAGCTACATTTCAACGAAGTTTAATTCAAAAGGAAATTTTGTGCCCTTCTGCTCACTGTTAGTTATAAGTACAGCTATTGAACTGTACTAAAAAACCCGAAAACCTTTGCTTCACTTCTGATGAAGCAAACTGAGAGCTACTTACATTGTTTTTCATCACTGCTGTCTTCACACTGGTTGGTGAGATTGCACTCTTTCTTTGGTGGAACAGAAAATCCATTGTCACATCGGAAGTCATCTCCTGTGAATGGTTGAACGATTACAAGAGTGAGACAACACCAGAAACCAAATAAGCTGACTTTTTTCATTGGATATGCTACCATCCAGGCTTTCTACTCTGAAGAGAGCTATTGCAGCAATCTAGTACTGGTCAAGACGTGTCCATGCAAACCCACGCTGACACATGTTGCTTTAAAACTTTATTTTCTAGAGTAGCACATGTTTCGAGTTTGATACTCTGACAAAACATGCTCTGCATGAGGCAGTTACTTTTGAACCCTTTATAGGTGTGTCTTTAGAAAATATGTAACCGATTTGAATCACTTTTTTATGGGGCTTGTTTTGTTGCACTATTATGCAAACCAAGTGTATATCATTAACTCGATTGGAATTATTGCCTGATGACTGGCAAAAATTTCTGGTTAGTAAACAACATAAGCACACATAGTATAATCAGACAATTAGCAACATTCCTCAAGGCCTTTTTTGCCTTTTCTTGAAATAATCTGGCAGTAATGCTTAAGTATAAGTAATTTATGAAGAACATTATGCATGAACTATAGACATGTGGCAAATAAATTCAAGCATTGGTTTTAATATCAAAGTGATGACAAGTGACTGATCTATGGAGAATGAGAATTTGTATACCCTGCCCACTATCATGCAGTTTCTGAGGGTTGCTTGTATACACACTATTATAAGCTCAAATGATGGATGTCAATCGAACTACTTTGGGGTTGGTTTGAGTTTTAGCCTTCTGTATGTGAATTATTTCTAATTTGTGCAAATGTACTGTATATTCACAAATATTCTCCACATAGGTCATTTGAACAAATGTGAGCCTACATGTTGCATATACTGCTCACTTTGGCTGCTAAATATTCACGAAGTTTATTTGGTCACCTTACTTACATGCCATTGATTCTGCCTCCTGACAGAATGAACACAGGAGAATAATTAATAAATAGTGTACTTGCACTACACCCTTCTGCACAGATCATCGTGAGGATGAATATTAAACATTCAGGATCTGTGAACATATTTACAAATACATAGCAGATATTCAGATATCTCCTAACAATAAACAATGAGACCCTCAAAACAGCAGCAAACCAAGCGTTTCCCATGAATCCATGTAAGAACCAACCACAATCATTGCCCCAGGAGTATCAAGGAATGGAGATGAAGGTTAGCGCTGACTCCTCTGCCCCTATGTGTTGACCAGTGGAGCTGGGCAGCTGCTGGGCAGGGGAAGGAAGTAAGCTGCACCTCTGGAAGTGGTGCATCAATGTGCATGCTCCCCAGGGGCAGAGCAGCTTTGCATCATTCCCAAACCTGGCTGGCATTGTTCCCTGTAAGGTGCATGCCTTCGCAGGCGTGCATGAGATGGGCAGGCCTAAAAATCCTTCTCAGCAGAGCTGCCACCCACCGGGCTGCCCTGGCCCTAGATTCAGCCCTTACCACACAGCCAACAGCTCCAGTCCAGGGGGAGTGGTGGCTCCTTTGGTGGTTCCGACCAGGGCCACAGCCGGAGGCATGTCATGGGTGGCGGCAGCTCCTCCAGTGACCCCAGCCAAGGCCAGAGGTGCATCATAGGTGGCAGCTGCTGCTCTGGTAGCCCCAGCTGGGGACAGAGCTAGAGCTGCATCTCAGGTGGCCGATGATGCTCCTCCAGTGGCCCTGGTTGGGGCCAGGGCTGGGTACAGAGCCGGAGTCATGTTGCAGGCAGCAGCCATTCCTCCAGGGGCTGAGACTCAGGTCTGAGATGCCACGTGTTGGTCTTAAATGAAATAAACTGGCAACCTCTACCCAGGCCTCTCCATAACCACAGTCATCCTTGTTGTGGACAGCTCTCAGCAGAGAACAGTGGACAGCTCTCAGCTGTGGCCTGTTAGCAGTGGTGCCTTGGTGAAGCTAGCTCTGGTAAGTATATCAGATAGATACATGTGAGCAATTAGGGATGCGATAGACTAATAGAATGTAATTAATTAACGTGTGAATCAGAGTAGACACACTCTCCTCTCAATATATATTATTCTTTTTGTATCTAATCTCTCACACATATATTTGCATATATTAGGTAGCAATAAATGACACCTGCATATGTACTAGGAGAAATAAACATAACATGTCTGTCACACATCTGTATGTGTGTGTGAAAACTCCACACTGTGTACGTGATTGAAAAGCATTGAATTGGACACACAGAGAAACTCACTCAGCAATCTCATTAATGTAGTCTGGAGGGTGGATCCATTTAGATACATGTTTCTAAAGAATAGTCTGGTTGGAAGTTCTAGGGTGCTGCAGACACATTTCTTAGTATGTGTCTGGATCCCTTGCCCTCCCTTCCCCCCCCAAAAGAAAAATCAACTTGCCACCTGCTAGATGAGGTAGGGTATTTAAATTAGTACTTGTGTGCCCTGGAAATGTATGAGAGTGCTAAGAAATAAGCATTAGCTGTAACCAAGACGGTTCAAAGTGTAAGCTCCTCTTACCTTCATTTGTTCAGAAGTAGAGCCGGGAGCATTAGGTGATGGGTTTTACTATAACCAGATAATTAATAATCATTGGATGTATTTGTTTGTTTTCTTCATTATTTATGGATGGCAGTTTTTTAAAGCTAGGTAGCCCGTGTCTTTTATGTAAGGCTCCTGTCATTTAGTGTAGACATGTGTTTCAGATTGTAGCCCTGTATGTGTGTGTGGCCAAGAGAATGTGAAATTTGTGCATGTGGAGTTGTATGCCTCTAAATGTGTGTTGTGAATTAGGGGTTGTGTTAACATGTATATTGTCCATGTGTTGTGAGAGTGTAGGCATTTTGTGTACATTATTAGTTTCCCCCTCGGTGTTGTACGAGTTTGTGGTCAGTGTGTGTTGTCATCTGAGCAGTATATGAGTTTGTGTGTCTTTTGGTTCCAATGGGGCTTTCTGTTCCCAGGCTATGTTAGATTGTGCATTAGTGTGTAGTTCCATAGGTAGATTGTGTAGCAGTGTGTTGCGTTAGTTTGTGCATGATGCGGTGTGGGTGCTTGTGTTTCATCTCTATATTAAGCTGTGTGGCCCATGAGCAGGGGGACGGAATAGACACACTGAAATCAAGTGTTCTAATAGTGGTAAAGGATGCACAGGATGGGGATGTAGGGACTGGGGAGCCTATGGATGCAGGAACAGTGGGAGCAAGGCTGAGTGGGAGTGGGACTGGGTGGTTTTCAGGGTGGGTAGGTTCAGGGTCATGCACCTTAATTATCCCTTGTTTTAAGGGTTTTTTTCTGTAACAATTTAAAATGTTATATATTTTGGTAGTAATTGGTGGGTGCCATAGTGGCACATATCTGAACAAATGCACATGACATCAAGATTGGTGCACAAGACAAAACTCACTCTGCTGAGAAAATCTTAGAAGGAACACTGCTGGTTGGATATACATGGCACAAATGAGCCGTAAGTCTGTATCACCTCAACATAGGTGGACAAAATAATATTATAAACATAAGACATGCAAGTAATCCTGCTGCTGTTGCTATCTGATTTGCTCCTATAGTTCACTCCTGCAGAACTCACCAAACAAACAATAACATTCAAGCCACTCATAGCCAAAGCCAACTTTCATTTATACTCTGTGGAGCCATGAAATGCAGCTCTGATTGAGGAATGGATGAATTAGTTTTGAAATGCAATCACTGCTTGAGCCCTGGTACCCCTTTCATTAGAAATTAAGCACTGCCCTTGCCAGATATTAACAGCTGCTGTAACTTAGACCTGCCTGCAGCCTCAATGCACAGGAACTCATCTTGCACACAGCCAGTCAAGGACTCAGCAAAAGTGACCTTGCACCATTCTGAACCTCATTTCTGAGCTGCACAAGGCGGTCTTCAATAGCCACGGAAGACCTAGCCCTTAACTGTTAGGACCTATTTTGCTTTTACACCATGTGAAATTTCTTCACATGAGAAAACTACACAGGAACTCCTTTTATTAATTTAGGCTGTCAGTCACATATATGCTGCAGCAAAATGAGCAGCCTTTTGCTACTACCTCAATTGTTCTCTGAAACACGGTGGAGAAGAACCAAGGAGGTGAGCGTAGAACAAGGCTGACAGTATCAGTATTATATAATGGAAAGTTTAAATCAAGATGGCCTAGCCAGACAGGATGATCTGCTGGATCATTTGAAATGAAAGGTGACTGGAGCATGGAAGATACTACAGGTGCTTTATTCTGAAAAGGTTGTTACCTACCAGTTCTGTGTTCTTGGGGATCCTTCTGTCCCCAGGCTTTCCTTGAAAGAAATCAGTCAAAAAACTCTTCTGGACATGAGTGATCAGACTAAGGAAACTCTCCTACCTTCATTTGCATCAAATATGGGACAGGGAGGCCTCTCAAATAACACACAGAATGGAGAACAGAGATCCCAAGGCAAGAACGGCACTGAACTGTGGGACCAGAGAAGCAGGAAAGCACTGTATGATGGGGAATCTCAACTCCAGATGTTAAACTCCGGTGCCTGCATGCACCTAGCTGAGTAGTTAGCAGACCAATTCTAGTAATAAAATCTTTTATTGGCATCCAAAACACAGAAGCTACCTAATTGCAGTATGAGCTCCCTTGAGAAAAAACACCACCTATAGCCAGGAATGATCAATTTCTATTTTCTAGCCTGAACACGACAACTTTGGTATACTCCTGTGAGTTATCAATTTGCCCATAAACAAATCTAGTGTTCTCCCTTG